ACGGGACATCAATCAGCTGCTTCCCACATGCGCCTGGACCAGGGATCAAACCTGAAACCTGGGTATGTGCCCTGACCAGGAATCAAACCCTAGCTTTTCGGTGCACAGGAGGACTCTCCAACCAACTGAGCCACACTGGCCAGGTCAAGTGGTATATTTTTAATGGCTTCCCTTTTCACCCTCCAAAGCATCCTGTTTGGACAATGAATTATAATGATCACTCCACTGAAATTCACCTGAGCTGCATTCTTCAAAGGTCCATGCTTCCTTCCAGACTTATCTTACACATGAAGGAAAGGGCTGAAACTCTCATGAAGGATGAAATGGTACGGAGAAAACTTGCAGAGAATGTGTACAGAGAAAGTATTTCACACAAAATTTACCTGTGCAAAAAAACTTTCCATTTTTTCATCTCCTGCTAACCACATGTCACCATAACTTACCAAAATGGGAATAAACTCACCTCTCTGCACACAGCAGCAATCTGTGCTTCATCCATGCAGGTTTCTGTTACAACATCAGTAAGTGATCCCCCAGCAAGGTACTCCATTACTACAAACAATTCATCTCCCACCAGGTAACTAAAAAAAGAACACACAAAACACATTCACATTTTTACTTTTTCTGAACACATGGAACTCTATGCTGAACAATTCAACGTTTAGGCACCCTCGTAACAAAACTAGAAAGCTGGTAGCTTTCAGAGCTAGGAAGACGACTAGAAAGCTGCTACGTAACTGCACAGAAAAATAACCGAGTGTCATCATGATTTTCCTGAATCACTTTAAGTTTGCCCACAATTGTAACTTGAGTGCATAGGTAGATTTATTCATCCTATTTTACAGATGAACAGACAGAAGCTTGGAGAGGTTAAGTAACTCACAGCTACTTAAGGTCACATGGTTAGTAAGTGACAGAACCTGAATCTGAAGCCGAGTATAAACTAATTCTAAAGCTTATGGCTTTTCTTTTTTTCCCAGCATCCAAAAACTTTTTAATAACAAGGTAGGATCTAGGGTTAGTTTTTATAGCTGTGGCTGGCCCATCAGCCTCTTGCACACTTGAATTTCTGGCCCTTGGATCTTACGTAGGGTTTGGTGTGGCTGTGAGGGGTTCCTGGCGCCTTGCCAAAATGCCTGTACACCTCTGTCCATGCGAGGAAAGCAACACGGTGCCACAGTCCTTGGGGGAGCCCAGGGTCAGCTGGCTGAAGGTGAGGATCTTGCACCCAGCCTTGAAGTTGCAGCTCGGGGGTAGCTGTTCACACCAAGTGCTCACACCTTCAGTTTGGGCACCTCCTGGACATGCAGGTCATCAGCTATAGTCCCTACAACCACAGTGGTTCTGCCATCCAGGCCGGGAAGCTTCATTTTCCAGATCATCCGGGAAAGGCACAGAGGTGGCCAGTTGGTATGACTCATGAACAACATCTTCAGCACCACTTCGTTGAAGGTTCGTCTGGCCAGAAAACTGTACAACTTGACCAACAGCCTTAGATAGATGTCCTGGCTCTTTGGCTCCTTGTACCAAACTTTTCCGTTTCTGTTGTGGTGGATGTCAACTCCCATGATGGTGCCTTCTGTTCCACAAGGTCCGGAAAGCTTATGGCTTTTCTTAACCACCATGATACACACTTAAAATACTTTAAAATGTATCTGGAAAGTTTATTTCTATGAACACAGTCCCTATTACTAGGGCTAACGTCTAAAAATGGGTTATCATTACCCCAAAACAAATTTAAATGTGGAAATAAGAAAATTACCTATAATCCCCTATCTCCAATATAATCACTGTTATAATTCTCATTAACTTTCTATTGCTCTTCTTTCATTCACATGTATGTAATTGCTTCTAAAAAACACAAAATAGTTGTAAGATATGTTTTTTAACATCAACTCCTAAATTAAATGAGATTTTGATAGACATACTATTTGCTCATGAAAGCATTTGAAATAAAAATTCATCTAAAAGTTTAAAAACTGTGTGGCCTGTCACCTCTGTTAGTCAAGCTATGAATCACCTTCTCTTAACGTTTCTGCTTCTGAACATTTGTAATTAATATGAGCATCAGCAGCAATGTCCTTCATTTAACTGCCTTCTCTCACTGGCCAAATGACATCTATGTAGAAAAAAGACCTGTTAAACGGCAATGTGCTATTTTTACCTCTCCTCCTCCTTCAAGCTTACTTTTCAACACTGACATTCTACTATGATCTAAAGAGGCTATGCCCTAAAACCATGAGACTGAAAATGTCCACATTTTTGTCCCAATGCTTAAAAAATATTCATATTTACCTGTCCAAGAAGTTAACTATGTTGGGATTCTTTAATTCTTTCATCACCAGAATCTCATTAATGATCAATTCCTTCTTTGGCTGTTTCTGTAAATTAATCTGTTTGATAGCAACCTATGATGGAAACAGAATTTTTTAAAAATCAGAACAAGTTTCTTAATTCTCTTACAAAATCACAAATAACAAACAGTTAATGATTTAATTTACTGTATATAGTATATAATGAAATTATAATTTACTAATAGGTATACTTTTATTTCCACTCTGCCTATGCACAATGCTTTGTAATATATAGAGCCCAAATATTTTTAGATTTCTCTTGAAGCTGATTAATCTAAGGTCAGCCCAGTGCCAAGAATTAGTTCTTTTTCATTCCAAGCTAGGAAAATAATTTTTAAAATATCTGCTTATTTATGAAATAATGCATTAATTCCTTTTTTCCCCTTTAATAAGAAAAGTGCTATAAAGTTACATAGAATAGAAAAATAAGTAAAATAAAATTACATAGAATAATTCTTTCAACATATTCAACTGAAAGAGAGATTCCTATTGATTATTCACAGGTTTATTTAGTTTCCTCCTATACTGAAAGCTAATGATTATACCCAGAACAATGAAAAAGTAGCTACCTCCTGTCCCAATGCCACATCAGTAGCAGTGAAAACTGTACCAGAAGCCCTAGGGGGAAAAAAGACACAACGAGATTTAAGGTTTCTAAATCACTACCATTTACAAAATCCAATGACTTTATACTTAGAACTGAAAAAGAATTAAACATTTAAGACTTAACATCTTTAACAAGAGTAAAAACAAAAGGGGGGGAGGAATAAGAAAAAGAGGTAATTCCTATGGCCAAAACTTATGTTAGAAATTTGTCACAAATTTCATACCTACAAAAATGCAGGGAAAAAAAGTAAAGAAAAAGAAAACAGCAACATATACCCATAGATCCACTCCCCTGCTTAAAAATCAAAGAACCACAAACAATTTGAAGGTTCTTGTGTGCCCTTTCCAAAGGTATCCTCTCTTCCTCCCAAAAGTAATCTGTATTTGTTGTTCATTTTGTATTTGATGTACACCATTCCATGCATTTCTCTATACTTTATCTATATTTAACATAATTTTTTAAACTATGTTTTTTAAAAACTGATTTTAGAGAAAGAGGAAGGGAGAGAGAGAGAAATATCAATCAGCTGCCTCCCGCATGCACCCCAACCAGAGATCAAACCTGCAACTTGGGCATGTGCCTGGACCAGGAATCAAACCAGCGACCCTTCAGTGCATGGGACAATGCTCAACCAAGCCACATGGGCCAGGGCTACCATAATTTTTAAACCTCACATAAATGATTTCACTTTATGTATTTTTTCTGCAATTTTCTTTTTAAACTCAACACTGGATTTGGGATGTTCATCCATATGGATAGATGTTATTCTTTCTTGTTTTTCTCCCCTTACTTTTTGTTAGATATCATTCTTGTTCATTAATTATTATTACATGTATTATTCAATGTATTATAATTCATCCATTATCATGCTTAAGAATGTTAAGATGATTCTCAAATTTTTGTTATTAAAACCAGTGCTGCAATTGAATTTAGTTTTTAAAAAGAAATTCGTAAGGAGACTTTCAAAAATAACTTAAGCTCTTTCTAAATTCACAGACCATTTTCCAGAGATTAATAACGTTAAAAATTCTAGATGTTCATCCATTTCTAAGCAACAGAAAATGAGTTTACTTAGTATAGTTTAAAAATACAAATTACTGGACAAAATCAGATGATTAGTAGACTCGATGGATGTAATTAAAATGTATGTTTTTATTGTCTATAATCTTGTAGTAAATGTTCTTATAGTCTTTTAAATATATTTGATGGGCAATTTTTCCACCCATCTAATCTCTTACCACCATTAGAAATACCATTTAAGAAGAAACAATGTACAGTTGAGCCCTGGCCAGGTAAGGTCACTTGGTTACAGCATCGTCCCAATACGCCAAGGTTGTGGGTTTGATCCTGGGTCAGGGTATGTACAAGAATCAACTGATAAATACATAAATAAGTGGAACAACAAATTGTTTGTTCCTTTCTCTTTCCTTTCCTCTCTTTCTAAAATCAATAAAAAGAAAAAAGAAACAATGTACAGTTGTGGCTAAGTACTACAGTTTTTTAATAGAATCTAGAAATAAATGCATTACTTACACAAATCTACGGACACCACTCATAGAATACTGTAAGTGCTCAATGTCAGCAGGCAAAAGAGATATCGTGCTGTACACCTAGTAAATACTGAGTATTGTGATAATACAGTCACACAAATACTTACCCTTGCCCAATTTTTTCATATCTTGTGTATTTTTTCTTAGGGTCGCCTATGCTCACAATAGTTCCTGTTTTAAACAAAAACAACAAAAAGTTATAAGCTCAGTTGAGCATTTTTAAATTATAAATTAATTCTGATATCATTATTCCTTTTAATAAATTCCATTGATTTTAGAGCAGTGGTTTTCAAACATAACATTAAATTTCAAAAATACTGTATGTTTCAAACACAAAACACTAAAGAAACTTAAATATATAAATAATATCCAAACAAATAACCAACCCTAAGTGGCTTTTCTGACTCTTCCCATATATCTTTGATTTTACAATATATTTAGAAAACCACTTATTACTATAAAAACTACTCTAATATGAACTAATCACACATCTGTTTTAGAAAAGTTCACAAAGTTACAACTAAGACACAGGTTTTAAAGCTAGGCTGTTGGACATAAAACCATAACTTAGGTTCTTATTACCAGTAAGTGAAAACATGAGAAAACAACATTAAATTTTCACTTGCTCAAGGTAAAAGGAAATAGGAGCATAGCAAGGAAACTCACAAAAATAACTTGATTTTACACAGGTACCCAACCTGAAGTCTACAGTCACTATAATTATAGTATTTTTCCCTTGATCCCTCCATGTAGGTGTTCTTTATACTATAGTTGATGTAGACTTGTAAATCAGACATTACTGCTACCCTCTCCCTGGCACTGTATAAATTATTTCCAATGCTTGATCCAGGCCAATGATAGTTGATGGGTGAAAAAAATACATTTTGTGCCTACAAATAAATCCATACAGGAAGACCATTTTGTTTAGTTAGTTACAGTCATTTTGTACTCTCACACTGAAAAGCTATAGGTATGCATAAATATATATAAACTCTCTGCCCTAGCCAGTGTTGCTCAGTGGTCTAAGCATCAGCCCATGCATGAAGAGTTGAGGGTCTGATTCCCCATAGCGAGCACATGCCTAGGTTGCAGTTCATTCCCAGACCCTAGGGCTGGAGGCATGTGGGAGGCAATCTGTCTCTCTCACATCTATGTCTCTCGCTCCCCCCTCCCCTTCCCGCTCCCTCTGAAAAGCAATGGAAAAAATATCCTCAAGTGAGGATTAACAACAACTATATGTATATATATATTAACTTCCTTTGATAAAGTTCCCAACTATGTCCCTTAGATTTAGCCCTATAGGAAGTGTTGCTCCCAAAGGTACTGACTACTGCAGAGACATTGCTCACCAGTAACACATAATAATAAATGAGCAAAGAAGAGTAATCTTTGAGTTTCACCAGATTTTAATTGAAGTCACTGTTCCTAGAAGACAATAATTTATTCTTTATGTCTTACGCCAAAATATAGGGTATAAATTAAAATCCATCTGGGCCAAATGTTTCAAGAGCTGTTAACAAATTCAGAATAATGTAAAGTGTAGGAAACATACTTAATTTCTCCATAATCTCTTCATCTGTCATTTTGGTCTTCTTTTTCTGTTTGTCAGACGACTTGGCACCACCATCAACATTAGAATCACCAACTGGTGCAGGAATAGGGTCAATTACAGACCGTGTATAAATCTGCAGAGAAACAGTTAATTACTGAGATTTGAGGAAAAATATTTTTAAGTATTTTTACTGGCACACTATTCAGTTCTTTGAGTTTTAACCAAAATTAAAGTTGTCTCTGGTGTTCTAAAGAATGAGAATACTATTTTCAGATCTGTCTTATAAAAGACTTGTAACTAAGAAGAATAAATGTGAAACATTTTTCTCTGGCACATCATGTCTATCATTTAAATCTTTCTAGGAAAAGAGCAGATCCTTGAATGAAATTTAAGTGTAACCAGATCTACAGTGATTTACTAGTAATGAAGCAGCAAGAAGTTTAAAATCATGTTTTTACCACAAAGGAGAAATAAAGAGCAAAATAACAGAAACCTTGATGTTAAAATAACTATTAATCCCCCCCAATATTTTTGCACAAATATGATTTCCACCATTTCATTTCCAACAGCCAGTTCTAGAATATAAAAAAAATAGAGCCCTGTTTCATTAGATCAGATGCAATGACAGTCCTAAGAGTTTACCTACCAACCACTCCCTCATGCCACTGCCCAGCACCTTCCCCTACTTTACTTGTATTATTAGTACAGGAGGAGGGACGGGTCCCTTTCTGTCTTCATCTAGTCATTATTGTTAAAATTCTACTATATCTGGTTAGGAATTCACTCTTAGCAGCCCCTTGAATGACACCAAGGCTTTGAGAGAAATGTAAACAGGAGATAAAATATATAATTCACTCCCAATAAATTCAATAAAAAAGAACAATGAGAAGTATTTGTATTTTAACTTTTAAAGAAGCCATTTGATTTTTTTTTTTTTAAAAAAAGCTAGTTTTCTGATGAGTGGTCTTTAGGTAAAGAGCTTCTAATCAAATTTCCCCACACTAAAATATTTTAAGGATGAGGACTTTTTAAAATTGATCATTGAAACTCAAAAACAGACTGCTTTTTAAAACACACATGCACAGCCCTGGCCAGTGTGGCTCAGTGGTTGGAGCATTGCCCCATACACCTAAGGGTCTTAGGTTTGATTACAAATCAAGGGCAAGTACCTGGGTTGCGGGTTGGACCCCTGCCCCGGTCAGGGTGAGTTCAGGAGGCAACTGATCAGCGTGTGTCTCTCAATGTTTCTCCCCCTACCCCTCTCTCTCTAAAAATCAATGGGGAAAAAATATCCTTGGGTGAGGATTAACAAAAACAAAAACCAAACAAAACATGTGCATGGACACACACAGCCCAATTCACTAATAAGACACTCACTGATTTTGTGTGATCCGGTCTTGGGGCAATAACAGGAGGAGCAGCCTCTTCATCATCATCATCTTCCTCTGTTACTACTGCTGATGTTTCTGATCCCTTGGTATTTAGCTGTATTTATCAAGAAGCAAAGTTAAGGAAGAGAAGTGAAATATAACAATATATTAAAATATGATTCTTTTAACATATTCGAAAAAAAAAGGTTCTTTATTTTAATAGCTCATTTCAAAACAGTAAATCCTCACTTGCTCTAATCACTTAAAAAGTGAAGGCAATTCTGTAAGTAACGTAAGTTTATGAAATAAATATATATGATAAATATCAAGTACTCCTGAGAGAATTTATGCCCTTTACATAGTGAATTCTATACCCTTTAAACCAACCCTAAAAGTAAATAATCACTTTATTTATTAAGACCAATACAAGAATCCTCTAGGCTTTGTCATTTTCAGTTGTTTAAAACAGCTACATTCACCAGAAAAAAAATGTTGGCTAATGAAGCAAAAGAGAAAAGCATTAACTTTAATCAGAAATTATTATATGCCAGGGCTGTGCTAGGCTGTGCTAACTTTACATGTTACCCCATTTAATCTGCATATAATTCCAGGAGACTGTTTCCTTCTAACTGAGGAACTGAAAATAAAACAGTGACTTTGCAGGAGGTAACTGTGATTACATGATAACTTAAGATCAAGTTTCAGTTAACTCTAAAGACTGAAAATGACAGCCTTCTCTATTGTTCAGTATGTTTCCACCGTCTATATTGAGTGGAATGGTACCAGGGGAAAAGGCTAGCAAGTTCTTTGTATTCATGTTTACATACAGAAACATTACCAAAAGTATGCTCTAGATCATAATAAGTTTTAGTCACTTTGAGTGTCATATCACGGATATTCTATTTAACACGGCTTCCTCAACCAATCAAGTGGCTAGCTAAAACATATATTAAATATTTATTTCTGATGGCTGTAATTTTATTTTAGAAAGCAAAATAAAAACTGAAATTTTGTTTTGGGTAACTTAAATTAGAACAAAAGCTATAAGAAATAACATATTAACTCACTGCAGGTGTTCCAGAAGCGAAGCCATCTTTCTCTGAGCATGAAACAGAAAATAATGCTAAGTTTACATTTCAAAAAATAAAGTGTCTAAAAAATAAACATAATAGAAAGCAGAGCAAGTAAAATGTGTAGACTGGTGTTAAGTCGAATTAAGTCTTGAGAAGAATGACAATATCAGCATTCAAACAAGAATTTATATAAGATCAAGTCAACAAATCTCCAATCTTAATGTAAATTTACTAAAATCATTGAACTGAATGGGTGAACTTTATAGCATGTAAATTGTACCTTAATGAAGTTATTAAAAAATTATTTTGAAACTATACCTGTCAATCTGTATTTATTAAACAAAAGTTTATTCACAACGATACTTTCTCCAAAAAATTGCCTATTGAGGAACTTAGTGCAACCATGCAGACAATGTGTGCAAAGGACAATTCTTGACATAAACTGTGATTGGTACAAAAGCAAATCCCTGAAGGCAAAACCAGTTCATAAAGACTAAATGTTAAAATTCATTCTGGAGTTTAGAAGAGTAAGTTTTGTTTTACTTATATGAAAGACATCATTTTCTGGTCACTGATTTTTAAAGTGATTAATTTACACAGAAAAGCTCTAGGGACAAGTTCAACCTTTTGCTAAGGATGTACTAGACTAGGAAAAAAAAGTCAAAATCATTTGCCAAGTGGTCTCTGTTTCTGCAATGATGAAATCAAATAAAGTACAATTAAAATTACATGTATGATTTTAGCTCAATCACATTGTTTTTAAAAGCTACATGTATGACTTTAGGGGACAGAGAAACACATTAAAAGACACCCTGGGACACAATTAGTAAAATCCACGCTAGAGAAATAAGACAAATTATCTTGTTTCTTTAACAAACAAATTGCAAGGAAAAGAGACCATGAGAACCAATATGAGGGAGAAGAAGCCTTAATATCAAAAAGGATTCAAGAGATATAGCAATCAACTGCAATGCATGAACTTTATTCCAACCCTGATTCAAACAAATAAACTTTTTTTAAATCCACTAATATTCCAGTTCTTACCTGATGATAGTTCAATTCTGAGGTATAAATTCTTTTAATCTAACGCTTATTTACATACATATGATGTTACAATTTAGTAAAACAACCCTCCTCCTGTCCCACTAACAATAAATATATTTCTAGTATGAACTGTAAATCAGCATCTTTCCCTTCTATTGCTGGAAGTCATTCAAAAATAAAGAGAAAAAACAACAAAGGCCAAAACATCCACTTCTGTCAAAATTAAGACATTAATATGATCCCCAGACTCCAAATTATGCATATAAGCTGTTCCAATCAGTTTATAAAAGGTAGATCTACGCAAGGGAAACAATGGAGACAAAATCCATAGCTTAGGTTTTTTTTCGTTTTCTAGAAGCAATCCTTTTATCTAGAAGAGCTTCACAACTCTGCAATCTCATCTGAAGTAGAACTGATTGATGTCTCACCTGGAGGGGTAAAGCTCAGATATTTCTGCTTCACCGTGTTGGAGTCATAGAACTTTAAGACATCCAACACAGCCTGAGGATTCTTCTTTTGCTCTAATTTGGTGATATTGGAAGTCTGTAATAATCGAGCCCACTGTTCTGGCATGCCCTAAAAACAAGACAGTCAGAAATTAGTTGTTCTGAATTGCTTTAATAAAATGAATTTCCAGAGATGACAAAATACACACATCAATCTATATAACTACAGGTTTGACTAAAGGTCCAGTTTAAAGGACAGAGGGCACAGGCCTACATCTTGGCCCTGGCCAGGTAACTCACTTGGTTAGGCCTAGTTTTCTTAAAGGTCTATTTATCTAAATCTATTTTGCATAATTATAATAGTCCCAGCTCCCTAGAAAAAAGATACATCCATCCATAAACACTTTTAGAAGGGAAAAGCGATAAGAATTCATAATTCATATGTGTATAAAAAAGTTAACTTCAAACTTAACTACTGAATAGAAGAGCTTGAGTGATGATATGAAAGTCAGTCCCAACTAGGTAAACTTACAGTGAATTCTCCAGTAACAGCATCAAAGCCAACATGGATGGTGTGCTCAAAATCAGATGGAGGAGAAATTTCTGGCCGTTCCTTCTCTTTCTTCCTACTTCCTAAAGGGCAATAAAAAAAGAACCTATTTAAACAAAATTTAAAAGGGTATTCCTAATGTTTTATTTTTCCTAAGACATATTTTAAGAACAAAGTTATTCTAGAAAAGAGATTTCCCCTAAAGACAATGACTGATAAAAAACTAATAAAGTACAGTAACTAATCTTGTCATCAATCAGGGGTGGGGACAACCAGACAGTGTCCAGATTAAAGAGGCATACAGATTGGCACAGCACCAGGCCTGATTAAAGGACAGAGGGCACAGGCCTACATCTTGGCCCTGGCAAGGTAACTCAGTTGGTTAGAGCATTGTCCTGATATGCCAAGGATTCAGGTTAGATTCCCATCAGGACACATGCAAGAATCAACCAATGAGTAGAACAACAAATCGATGTTTCTTTCTCTCTCTCTTAAATAAATCAATAAATAAAACTTTAAAAATAATAAAGGCCAACCATTTATATACCAAGCAATGTGGAAAACATATATCAAGCCTTATTTCCATTTGACTATATTCATCTAGAAAGAACAATTTACATTACTATGACTATATAGACGATATATGCGGTATAGACAAATAGTTTACAAAGATCATACCACCTTCCTTGTGCAACTCTAATCCTTCCTTTCTACTGAAGTTAGTAACTGCTACATTTTAAAGTTTCCCTGCTTTTCAGAAATTTTTGAAACACTTCTGCCACACACCTATCAGTGTTCTCTGTAAATTCAAACACATCAGTTCCTTTCTTTTTTTTAACTAGTCACCTTGCTCTCAGATCCCCGTTCCTATCGGCAGTTTATGCCTAGGCTTCTGGCACAGCTGTTGTCCTAGCACTTTCCTTCACCTCTGTCCTGTGCTAGAATCTATTTTCTAGATCCTGCGTTTTTCCTCTTCTTGGTTTATCTTTTGGTAATCTTTTACTATAAACATATTTAGGTTGAAAATGTTTTTCCCACCTCAAGATTTCTTCTGCCAGTGTTGCCATTTAGGTCAATGACATTTTGAACCACTGGATGCTCAACTTTATTGCAATGCTCTATCTTTATCTTTATGTCAACTCCATACTGCCTTGATTACTGAAATTTTAAAATAAGCATTGAGCCCGGCGGGGCGTGGCTCAGCGGTTGAGCGTCGACCTAGGATCCAGGCAATCGGGTTCGATTCCCAGTCAGGGCACATGCCTGGGTTGCGGGCTTGATCAATGACTCTCTCATCATTGATGTTTCTCTCTCTCTCTCCCCTCCTATCCTCTCTCTGAAATCAATAAAGATATATTTTTAAAAAATAAATAAATAAAATAAAATAAGCATTGAAACTACATAGTATAAGCCTTTTACTTTTTTCAAAGCTGCTTGTCTAGGTCCTTTGCATTTCCATGTGAATATTAGGATGAGCTTGACAATCTTACAAAAAGCCTGCTGGGGTTTTATTAGGATGGCACTGACTCTAACAATAATTTAGAGAACCGATTTCTTAACAATATTGAGTCTTCTAATCCATGAAAACAGTGAATCTTTCCATTTATTTATTTATTTCTCAGCAATGTTTTATAATTACCAGTGTACAGATTTGTCACTGCTTTTGTCAGATTTCTGCTTCATTATGTCAAAATTTCTGTTCCTACTGCAAATGGTACTTTTTAAGTTTTGATTTTCAACTGTTCATTGATGGCATATGGAAACATAATTGATTCTGTTTTTTTAAAAAAAATATTTATTTCACAGAGGGGAAGAGAGAGGGAGAGAGAAATATCAATGATGAGAGAGTCATTGATCAGCTGCCTTCTGCACATCCCCTTCTGGGGATCGAGCCCACAACCTGGACATGTGCCCTGACTGGGAATTGAACCTTGATCTCCTGGGTCATAGGTCGATGCTCAACTGCTGAGCCACGATGGCCGGGCTGATTCTTAAATATCAATCTTATATCTTAAAACTTTATTATAACTGGTGTTTTTGTAGCTATCACAGGATTTCCTATGAAAACTTGATCTGCTGTTGGTGAATAAAAACAGGTTTACTTCCTTCTCACTCTGGATTCTTGCCTTACTGCACTGGCTAAAACCTCTAGTAGGCTGTTGAATAATAGTGGTGATGGGGCAAATCTTTGCAATCTTCCTGATCTTCGGGGGGAAAGAGTCATTTTTTCATCATTAAGTCTGACGCCAGTGGTAAGTTTTTAAAAGATGACTTTTATCGGGTTAAGGGCATTTCCTTCCATTATTCTAAGTTTGCTGAAAGTTTTTATCAGAAATGGATATTGGATTTTTTGTTTGTTTGGTTGGTTTTTTAGAGAGAGGAAGGGAGAGGGAGATGGGAGATAGACACATAGAGACACACACACACACACACATCGATGTGAGAAACATCAATCAGTTGCCTCCCACAGGTATGCACACACCTGGACCTGGGATCGAACCTGCAACCTGGGCATGTGCCCTGATGGGAATCGAGCAGGTGACCTTTCAGTACATGGGACAACTCTTAACCAAATGAGCCATACTGGCCAGTGCTAGATATTGGATTTTGTCAAATGCTTCTTCTTTATCTACTGAGGTAAAACATATGGTTAATCTTTTCTTTTTTGTTAATATAGTGAATTACATCGATTTCCAAATGTTACATCAACCCTGAATTCCTGAAATAAAATTCACTTGCTGATAATGTATTACCCTTTTTATATACTGTCGGATTCTAATTGCTAAAATCTTGCTAAGATTTTGCATCTATGTTCATAAGGGATACTGGAATGCAGCTTTCTTTTCTTGTCTTTGGTTGGGTTATCACAGCAACACCGGTGTCATAAAATGAGTTGGAAAGTATTCCTTCTTACTCAATTTTCTCGAAGTTTGTGTAGAACTGGTGATGTTTCTTCCTTAAAATGGAGCCATCTGGGTGTGACATTTCTATGTGGGAAGTTTAGTAACCACAAACTAAATATTCCTAAGAAATGTTACCTATTTCTTCTTGAGTGAGCTCTGAAATTTCCCCACCTTAGTATGTTAGATTCATTTGAACATATTTGTTCATACTATTACCTTATCTTTTTAGTATCTGTAAAATCTGTAGGGGTTGCCACTTTTCTCATTTTCAATATAGGTAATTTGTGTCTTCTCTTTTTTCCCATCAGTCTGGCTACAGGTTTATACACTTTATTAATATTCTCAACAAATCATCTTTTGGTTTCATTTTTCTGTGTTTTTCCCCCCATCTATTTCACTAATCTACATTTTAATTTTTTTTTCTTCTATTTTCTTGACTCTCACCTGCTCTTCCCTTCTAGTTTATTAAGACGGCTTAACCAAAGCCATTGCTTTGAAATCTTTTTCTTTTCTTTTCTAATATGGGTGTTTAATACTATAAAAATTTCCTCTAAGTACTGAGTTAGCACTATCAAACAGAATTTTCATTTTCATTCTGGTGAATATCTTTTATTTTCTTTTTGGCAAGAGAAATTAACCAAATTTAACACATACATAAGTATGAGAACCCTGCATACATGAGAGAGCCAGAGACTCCACATCAAGGAGAGGTTCCTAATATCTTTTCTAAATATTATTTGATTTCACTTATTTGGAAGTGTTTTATTTACTTTCCAAATATTTCCAGTGACCTGTTATTGATTTCTACTTTAATTACATTGTAGTCACAGAATACTTTGTGTGATTTAAACCCTTCTAAATTTATTAATATTTTAAAATATGAACCTAGAATATGATCTTGGTAAATGTTCCATGTTCACTTAAAAAGAACACACATTCTGCTGATGCAGTGTTCTATAAATGTCAATCGGTCAAGTTGGTTGGCAGTTTTAGCAATTTTCTGTCTACTTGTTCTATTAATTATTGAGAGAAGTGTATTAGAATCTTCAAATATAACGGGATTTGTCTATTTCTACTTCAATTCTATCCATTTTTGCTTCATGTATTTTGAAGCTCTATTATTAAGCACATAAATGTTTAGATCTGTCGTATCATCTCAATGAAGTGACCCTATTGTCATTATAAAATAGCCTCCTATCCCTTAGCCCTTAAATATTTAGAGCACTAGTTTTTGCTCTAAAACCTATTTTGTCTGATATTAACACAGCCAGTCCAGGTTTCTTTTCATTGTTAGCATACTTTTTTTATTCTTTTATTTTAACCCATTTATGGGGCTTTGTATTTTTTAAGTGGACTTCTTGTAGATAGCATGAAATTAGATCTGCTTTAGTAATCTAATAATCTCTGCCTTTTAATTGGGGTGTCTAGATCAGTTACACTTAATGTGATTATTAACATAGTTGGGTTTAAACTCACTATCCTATTATTTTCTTTCTAATAGTCTATTCTTTGTTTTTATTTTCCTCTTTTGGTTAAGTATTTTTTATAATTCTCTTTATTTCCTTTGTTGTTATTTTAGCTATAACTCCTTAAATACCATAAAGTTCACCTGTTTAAATTGTACAATTTAATGGATCTTACTATACTATTTATAGAGTTGTGCAACCACCACCACAATCTAACTTTGGCACATTTAATCATCTCTAAAAGAAACCTTATGCCCATTAGCAATCACTCCCCAATGCTCCCTTCTCCCCCACCCCAAACTCTAGGCAACCACTAATCTACTTTCTGTCTCATCTCCACATATTTGCCTATTCTGGCCATTTCATATATGTGGGATCATACAACATGTGTCTTTATAATGACCTTCCCTCCCTTTCTCCCAGGGCACTCTGCCACCTTTTAAAGAGATTTAGATAAGGAAAAACATTTACCATTCCCAGTGATTTTCGTTCCTTTATGCAGATCCGAATTTCCATTTGACACCATTTTCCTTTTGTCTAATGGACTTGGTTTAACATTTCCTGTAGTACAGGTATGCTGGTAGTAAATTCTTTCAGCTTTTATACATTTTTAAATGTCTTTGTTTCCCCCTCATTTTTGAAAGATGTTTTTGCAGGATATAGAATTCTAATTTGACTTTTTTCCTTTCTTTCAGTACTTTAAAGATGTTGTTC